AGGCCTGAGGGCCGCCGCTGTAGAGTATGAAGAATAAATTAGGCCTGAGGGCCGCCGCTGTAGAGTATGAAGAATAAATTAGGCCTGAGGGCCGCTGCTGTAGATGAAGAATAAACTAGGCCTGAGGGCCGCCGCTGTGGAGTATGAAGAATAAACTAGGCCTGAGGGCTGCCGCTGTAGAGTATGAAGAATAAACTAGGCCTGAGGGCTGCCGCTGTAGGGTATGAAGAATAAACTAGGCCTGAGGGCTGCTGCTGTAGAGTATTGAGAATAAACTAGGGCCGAGGCCCCTTTTGGACTTTTCTGACCAGCAGAACTGTAAAGGAATAAATCTGAATTGCTTTAAGCCACTGAGTTTGGGTAACTCTTATCACAGTCATAGGAAACTAATGCAGATAGGAAACATGGCAGCTACCTGGAAGGGCTGTGAGGCTCAGCACTCACGTGGGGAAAGGCCTGGCTCAAGTCGTACCTCAGTAGTTGTATCAATATTGCCCACAGGGTAAGTCTTAGGTAAGGTGAGGAATGTGAACCCACCCTCTTCGTTGCTTGGCGCCTATGGGTGCTCAGTGGATCTTAGGCTCCATGTCTCTAAGATTCTTGCAGGTCAGGGTGTCTGGGGGAACCCCATCAAGGAAGGCTCTGGAGATCTGCCCTGGTCTGTGCTCTGTGGCCACCAGGCTCTCAGCTCCTGTTCCTTGTGACCAGTGTGTGCTGGAGGGTCATTTCCTGGCCGTCCACCGCTCCTGAATTTGCTTTTGTGGTTGGTTACCATCTCACCCAGTGATACCACTCCTACCTCTGGACTTGCAGGCTCTTGGAATCTTTGCCACATAAAGTTGCTCTTTCCAACTGTCCATTGTCTTTGTAGCTGGCTTCCCTGTTGCTCCTTCATGGCATGTGACTTCTGTACTGGGACCTTGGCTGCCCTAGGCCATCCCTCCTCTGGGTGGTCTCCTTGGAGGCACCAAGACACGGGCAGGTCCAAGTGGGGAGTGCCACTCAGAGGACAGGGTGCTGGATGTCAGTGGCTCTCGCCAAGCTCTTAGAAGGAGGGCAACTGAGCTCCAGTCGATGACAAGTACACCTGCCTCTTCGTCTCCCAGCACCCTCAGAAGGCTGTCCCCTCTGGCTTCTCACAGGGACATTCGTTTCGGCCTTCACCGTGCTGTGTGGGGCCCGAACTGACCTCCCGGACAGGCACGTGTGCTGCGTCTTCTGGCTGAACATCGCTGCGGCCCTCATCCAGGTCCTCACGGCCATCGTCATGGTTGGCTGGATCATGAGCATCTTCTGGGGCATGGACATGGTCATCCTTGCCAGTGAGTAGCCACTGGCACCACACTTCCCTGGGGCTGGGGAGAGGGATGGGGCAGGATGGACTCAGGGGGCCCTCATGATTGGCCAAGGTCCTGCTCACCCCCTAAGGATGGGCAATTGAGAGGGCTTACCTGTACCCTCCTCACTAGGGCCCATGGCTGCTTGGCACAGGGGACCTTGCCATCAGGCCTGGCCTGAACGCCTGCAGGAATTATGAACATGTGGCAGGCAGGGTTCTTCCCATAGGGACCTCAATCAGCAAGCATGACTCAGAGAGGGAGGCAGCCCCTCTCCAGTGACATCCACCACTGCTGCCCAGATGACAGGACTGGACAGCAGTGGGCCTGGCCTATGTGAGTTCAGTCCTCTCTGCCTCCCATTCTCTGCTTCTCCTTTATGCTGTTCCCAGGAGAGGGAAAAGGCTGCGTGGCACATTTGCCCAGAGGAAACCCTAGAACTGTTTTTTTTTTTTTTTTTTAATGGCTGGAACAGTGTAATTTCTCCTTCTTTTAAACCAACCTCTTTGTTTATTAGTGCTAAACCTTGCTATTCCTCATATGTATTGAGTGGACCTTCATCAATCCCGTAGTGGAAACTTGAATCAGACACAACACTGTTTTATGGAAGGGCAAAGTTACAAAGTCAAGTTTACCAAAGATAACTTGGTTATCAATTTATTTGGTTACCACATAACCAAGCAAAATCTTAAAATAGACATCATCTTTTTAAAAATTTCTTTTTAAATTTTAGTTATTATTTTAGAAATAGGGTCTTGCTATTATTGCCTAAGCTGGTCTTGAATTCCTGGGCTCAAGTGATCCTCTTACTTGGGAGGCTCAAGTAAGAGTGAGTCAGTGTGCCTGGCTGAATATCACCTGTTTTAAGCAGCCATGCATGTCCCCCTGTGTGACCTCTGCGTTCCTTGTATTTTCCCATTTTTCATCTACCTTGTTAGGCCTCAGTTCCTCCATAATCTCAACCACATCTCCTGGGATGCTTTGCCCTTCACTCACCACCCCCTCATTGTGTCCTACACCCCACAAAACCACTCATAGGTGGCTGTAGGTAAGCAGGGGGTGTGTGGTGGGGGGGCCCAGCATTCAGGGGCCCTAGAATGATCTAGAGCAGAGGTTCTTAACCTTCCTAACCCTGCAACCCTTTAATACAGTCCAAAGGGGTCGCGACCCACAGGTTGAGAACTGCTGATCTAGAGTGATCTGTAGCCATTTCAGCCTGAGCTGAGGAGCTAGTGAAGACACAAGACCCTAGAGCACACACAAATGCCATGGCCATGGTCAGTGACTGACCAATCCAATAGGCCATAAAGGATGCAGGCGGCAGAGTCTGAGTGAGATCCCAGAGCTGGTGGATGGTCAGACAGGCTACCTGCAACGGGGTCCTGGAAGGACCTGCAGAGGTCAAGGGAGGAAGTGGGTTGGCAGTACTGCTAGGTAACCCCAGAGTTAGAACAAACCAGGCAGATGCTAGGCAGCCAAAGAAGGAAGCAGGAACAGCAGCCCTGGCCGGTGGCTGGGCGGTAGGCTGGCCCCAGGGAGGGGGAGGCTGAGGAGACCTAAGGAAAATGCTCTGTCCTGCTGGGAGGGGCTGCCCCACTAGGTGAGTATCAGAAGGTTAATGGGCGTGTTCCAGAGCCACTTTAATTTGGGGGGAAGGGTGCAGAACATTATTGCTGGGAAAGAAATGCGGCCAGCTTTCTGGTGAGTCCTAAAAAGTGGTGTATCAGTTTCCCACAGGGAACTTGCTGCTTTCTTGGGGGCCTGTGGGGTGGTCTGCAGACTCCCGACCTGTCCCCCACGGGAACTTGCAGGTGTGCTTCTTCTCCACATGCCTGTGGAGGCGGCTTTGTCTCTGTGCTGTATAAGCCTCTCTTACTGGTGCATTTCCTCATCAAACCCAGCATGTGGCCACTTTCTGGGGTCTCCAGAGGTAAGGAACCTCTGAATTAAAGTGGACTGCCTGTGTCACAAGGCAGGTCTCCATAAATGTGGGCTGATACCTAATCTGATCTCTAGAATTTTCTGGTATATTTGTCTTAGGTCTCCTTAATATCAAGTTCTCAAGGTGTCTGAACCTTAGAGGTAACTTAAAAAGCGCCCTTCTCCTGTCCTGGATGAGGCCAGGAGACCCCAAGAAGTACATGTAGAAACCTAATCACTCCCTCACTGCCCATCACCCCAGGCTGTGGACTCAGCCAGAAGCTCCTCCTCTATGGCTGGGGTGAGGCATGACCAGGCACAGGACAAACCACGGCAAGAGCTCCCAGCTCCCACCCGTGTCTCTCAGTCTGCACTGGAGGTCAGGGTCAGCTCCTTGGTTGTTTGGACACTGGCTCCAGGGATGCCTGCTTTGCATCAAACTTTTGAGGATGTTTCTAGGGGGATGCAGCACAAGAAAACCAGTGACATCTCACTCTTAACCACTTGTGTTGCCTGACTAGTAGAATCGTCCACCCATCTCAGCAAGGAAGGGTTTTGCACTTTTCCCCAAAAACTAAACCCACCCTCAAAGGATGAATAGTTGCCACTCAGGAAACTATTCCCTTTTCCCTGTGTTGCTGCAGTGAAGTAGGTTCAGATTGCTGAGCAACAGGAGAATATCCGAGTTTCCCAGTGTAACTCCTGTGAAGGGAAAAAACCACGTGCATTTGTCTATCCTGGTAGACAACTGGATAAGGGGCTATTCTTGCTGGTGTCACTTCAGCCCTTTCCTGTAAAAACAAAGGAAACTTTTCAGTTGTGACATTACAGCTTGATTTTCTCACACGGCACTGTCCAGAGTGCCATCTGCAAACATATCACCATAAAATATTCCTAGGAGGGGAATCAGAGAACTATAGATGAAAGTAGAATTTAAAATCAGGAACTTGGAAGCATGCTGCTTGATTAACATTAAAATGACAAATAGGCCAGGCGGTGGCTCCCACCTAGCACTTTGGAAGGCTGAGGCCGGAGGGTCCCTTGAGCTCAGGAGACCAGTTGGAGCAAGAGTGAGACCCCCATCTCTATCAAACCCAGAAAACTCAGCTGGGCATTGTGCTGCTCAGGAGATCATTTAGATCTAGAAGTTTGAGGTTGCTATGAGGTAGGCTAAGTTCATGGCATTCTAGCCTGGGAAGCAGAGTGAGATTCTGTCTTGAACAACAAAACAAAAAAAAAAATGACAAATAAAAATCAACAACAGCCTGTTGTGGTTGTGGACCAATAAATACTTGATAACTCTGAAGTGGGCTCTTTTTATTGCCATGCCCTGGCAGATATTGCTAATCAATCATGACACTTTCTGCTGGGCAAGCGCATTATTTTCTGAGCACAGGGCTTCAGTTAGTCACTACCAATTGATCCAAAACATCTGCAAGATAAAACTTGTTTGCCACCCTGAGGCCTGGGTCTTTCCCGTCCACAGAAAGGGCTAAACACAGGCCCTAAACAGATCCAGGCCGGCATCAGGATGGGTCACATTAGCATCTTCAGTTTGTCACAGTCAAACCTATAGCTGTCCAGCAGCTGTCTCTCCTCAGATCCATCCAGAATTCAGGCAGACATGTATTGGACATGAGAAATGCGGGCGTGGCTGGGATGCGGTGTGGGCCTGGCTGGGATGTGATGGCTGGGGAGAGCCCTTTGGCATACGCCTTTAGCTACACCTGGTGGGCTGACCACTGGCCACGGTGGATGGTCACGTGAACGCTGAACCCGCACTGTCCGAGGCCTTGCTTCAGAGTGGCCCTGCCAGTGGCTTCTGTGGGTCTCCTCGGCCTCCCCTGGCCCTGCTTCATATGCTTTGTTTCAGATACTCCCCATGGCTATTTTCAGACTGTGTTTTCTCTCTTTCTCTCCTCTTTCTCCTGCTGCCTTTTCCCTCTGTGTTGCTGCAGTTTCCCAAGGTGAGTCTGTGGACGGACACACAGGCCTCGTGTCTGGGACTGCTTGGAGGCCTCCCCTTCCCTGGGATCCACTGTACTCCTGCACACAAACACCTTATCCGTTCTTCCAGGTGGTCAACAGGCTTTTATTTTTAGCTTTAGCTTTTTATTTTGGAAAATTTTAAACATAAATAAAAGCAGAGCACCTGGTATGATGAGCCCACACCGCCTTACACAATTATCAACTCTTGGCCACTCTTGTTTCATCTGTTACTCCCTACTTGTCCCCTACCCCAAACACTGGATCATTCGTACCTCATATTGATGAGTAATCTGCTAAGCAAAGAGAAAAAAACCTATTGAGTCCATGGAAGCCCTTCTTTGGGCTAAGTTCATTATAAGCTAATGAGGTGACTGTCCAGGGAATTCCACTCATGTAATTTTAGCCAGAAATATTTTATTGTAGTAGATATCTTCTTTTAAAAAAGCATAAACACAATACCCTTTCACATCTAAATAAACCAGCCACAGTTCCTAACTACCCACAGTATTTGCATTTTCCCAAAGGCCTCATAATTACCAACAATATTTTAAAGGTTTGAAGTCCTCAGGCACCTCTTTGTGTCAGTCATGGGGCTGGTGGACATACACTTGGACAATTACTCCCCTCTGTGCACCATCTTCCTCCTTTCTTCCTCCTCTCCACCCCCACATCACACACACCCCTGAGGAGGCATGCCAGGCTCCTCTTAAGGCTGTGTATTGGGAAATCACACCAGGCCAGTCTGTGCAGTGGCCCCAGGGTGTGGATTCAGGAGCACATATACTGCCTTCTTGCCCTCACCCCAAATACCCTCCTCTCATAATTTCCAGTAAACCAAATATTCTGTAATTCTTGATTCATTCCCCCTCCCTATTAAAAAACCAAAGCCAAAGTTTTGCCCTGTTGGTAGCAGTCATTTACACATCAGTATAAACAAGATCTCATGAGTGTATTCTGGGGGACACCTCCTGGAGAAATCCCGAAGGATGTGGGGGTCTAACCATCTCTCTTTTATTTCTTTATAGGCTACAAGGAACAAGGCATCCCCCAGCAGCTGTGAGCCTCAGGAGCCCCTGGGGATGTCCAGCAGGGCCCTGTGAGGGCTGAGCCAGGCAGCTTCAGGCACAAGGACTTTTACATGTTCTCTTCTGCCATTTCCAGATTTGGGGTGGAAAGGGGGTATTTTAAAAAATATTATTTATTTTGAAAATGCATCTGCTTTTCTCAGCACATTCTGAGGGCCACCAGCCCCTCATCCTTCTCTGGAAAGCATCATAGGCATCAGAGCATCAGGGAGAAGATGGGAAAGTGGACAGAGAGGCTGGGATGCTCTGGTGGGCTCAGCTCCACCTTGCAGTGTCCCCTCCCTCCTGCAAGGGCACGAGGGAGCTGCTGGGCTAGGCCGCAGTGGGGCCTGTCCTGGTGAGGGGGGGTGCTCACCAAGGGGATAGTACTGTGATAGACACTTCCTCTGGGTACCCACCTACTGCCTCAAAATCTAGTCCCCCAGGTGTTTTCTCTGTGGTTTCCTGGGAGCAATGCCAGAGTCGGGGTGAGGATGGCTAATTCCAGCCCAGCATGGAAAAAGCCACAGTCCCCACTGCTGGCCCAATGCCTTGAGGAGAGGAAGAGTCCCATAAGCCTCCCCTCCCTGACTACCTCCTTGTCCCTGAAATCCAAGGGCTGTGTGTGCTTTGACCTTTGTTTTCCTGGGAAGTTGGGGAGTGGCTTCATCCCTGGGATGAATTGCCAGATGTTCATACACAAAATTACCAGTTCGAGGTGTGAGTAGGCACAGACTGGCAGCCTTTTACATTATACTTAACACCAATTCTGGCCCACAATCCTTTTTCTGAAATTCTTGGGGCCAGATGGGTCTCTGAATTCAGAAATTTTAGATTTGAGAAAGATAATGTGATCCATTGATCATGTATTTTCTTACATCCTGGTGGTGTCTGGAACATTCCACTCACCATCAAGCACATGAATATTTCTGTAGAGAATCATGTGACTAGTCAGATTAATTGGGATCAATAAAACCTATAAATAGCCTCACCTCAGTTCAAGTCCAATTTTGCCACTAAACAAATTATAGGGAAAAACTTAGCCATTTGAGAGCTTTTGGAGTTTTAGAGTAGCAAAACAATTGTATGGTGTTGTGGATCTCGATCTGAAAATTCTACTTGCAAACAGATGGATTGCAGTGGTTCTCAACTTTCCTAATGCTGTAAGCCTTTAATACAGTTCCTGTGGGTCGTAACCCACAGGTTGAGAACTGCTGCATTAGAGGGTAAAACTGTTGATGTCACACAGGGGTTCCTTCTGTTGCAAAGAGACCATCTGGCCTCTCAAAGGAGCACCTCTGTGATTGCTTCGGAGATAAATCCCTAGAGGGGGAGAAACCAGCAAAAGTTGTCCAGGCAACTGCAGATCAAGCATCAGTCTGAAATTAGGAGAAAGGTGATTGAAATTGTAGCAATAGAATGGACATATGTGTTTGTTTCCTGCTTTCATTTTTTTTCCCTAACGTAGGAAGTGCTAATAGGTATAACTGGCTCAAAGCTAAGTTCCTGATCCCATTGGGTATATCCCACTTTGAGAATTGTTTTCATTTTTTGAAAAATCAGTTGGAGACACCATGAAAAACTAGGCCAGAGCTGGAGAAGGCACTTGTCCGGCCACCTTCTCCATTGCTGGATGGGAGTGCTTGGAAAGCAGTGCCCATTGCACAGGGAGAGTTCCCGCCCTTCTACCCTTTCCACTGGGCTTTCTGGAAAAATCACCTGCTGGGGGAAGCAGGTAATGGGTTCTCTGCAGACTGGATAGCTCCCTGACATCTGAGGAGACACAGGACCCCCTGAAGTCACTCCCCCATCCCCTGGGCCCCAGCTGGACTCAGGCGAGGCTCTTCTGCTCCTGGCCTGTCCTTCCTGCTGCCCACTCCTTAACTTTGATGAGTGTCTCATCCCTGTTCCCTCGCTGCTGGGGGCTGGGCTGCACTTTCTGAAAGCCGGGCAGTGTCTTTACGTCTCCTGCCCTTTCTTCTTCCTGACCCTCGCCCCGGCCTTTGCTGCCTCTTTCCTATTCGGAAGCCTCTGTGTTTCAAGGCATGGGGCCCAGCTTGCTTTTATCTGAAAAGCCAAAGCCTTTTGCTGTGTGAAGACAGCAACCTCCGGGCTGGCAGCTACTGCTCTCGAGGAAGCTGCATCAAATGGAGCCGCCCCTAAAATATATAAAACAGATATAGCTTCTGCTGGGGGAAACAAGGGTCATAGCCCCCCTCCCACCGCTGACAGCCCACAGCCCATCACCCCAGACAGCCCCAAGTTTGCCTGCCTCCCCCACGTAATGACAGACCTCAGGAGGGGGCTGCCCCCACAAGTGAGAGAGAAGCTTATTTTCCTGGATTGGGCTGGGGGCGGCTGCTGAGGGGTGGATAAGAGATAGCAATTTATGTCACATGTTTAGTGACACAATCCAGATGTGGGTGGGATTTTCTGGAGTGGCAGGTGCCACTGTGAGTCCTGTGTGGGATGGCTTGATATAGGGATTTGTGTGCTTGGAAGGCCATCTCCCCTCTAGGTCTGCCTCTGGCCTGAGGGCTGCATCTCCAACCTGTGAACACGACAGCCTCAGGGGAAGCACCTTCCTGGGGACTGATGTGTGGAAAAAGCCACAAGCATCCCCCCCCCATACCTGTCTCCAGAACAGCCAGTCTCTGAGGGTGGCTCGCAGGTGGGACCAGTTCACACTGTATCCCTCTAAGTTAGACCCTAGTGTCCGCAGTATCCTCCTCATTAGGTAAGGGACAGTAGTTAGTTTATTCCAAGGAGTCTGAGCTGGCCACTCAGATCATTAGGTGGCCAGAGTTTGGCCACCAGCTGGAAATCAAGGTTCTCATGCCAGTAAGTACTCGGATGTCACGTAGCCCTGTGGTAACAAAGCTGGGTTTTGACCCCCTGGTGTCTTTGAGGCAGATGGTACAGAAGTTGCAGGCCCATATTATAAGTTGGTGCCTTTTGTTAGTCAGAATTCAGTAGGCTGTTCCCTGGCTGTGGGTGTTTGAGGCAGGAATCACGGATGGGCAGAGAAGGTTGCTGTGAATGAGATGCTCCCAGGACCTAACTGTGATACTGTAATCAGAGTGGTCAGAGAGGTGCCGTGAAGCAAGAGTGAGTCACCTGCTGGCCTGGAAATATTCTGTGGACAGTAGAGACTATTGATCTCTGAGTCAGTTTATAACTGAGGATTTAAGGCCATGATAGCCAGGGTCCCCATGTGAGCAGCAGGAGTCAGGTGGCTCCTGGCTCTCTTGCCCCTGCTCGAGACTGTCCCCTATCCTGGCATACCACCAGCATGCAGCATGGTTCCTCCCTCTGTTGTTCCGGACCCTGAATCCAGCCCCAGTGGCAAGAACCGCCTTCACTTGTATGGCTTCACCAGGCACCCTGCAGAACTGAGGCTCCAAGAGAGTAAACCACGTGACCCCAAGTACTCAGTTTATAAATGGCAGGACCAGGAATGACCAGGTGTGGCCTCTGTCAAAGCAGTCATTACGGCCTAGAAGAAGGAGGGGACTGTTAGGGGGACAAAAGAGAGGCCCTCGCCGGCTCGGAAGTAATGGGGTGAAACAAAAGACCTGGGAACAACTCTGTAGCTTCCACCCTGCCCCACAGGGTTCCCTGCTGCACCTGCCTGGGAGCCTCAAACCCACCTAGCCCTTCTGGGTGCCTCTTACTGAGGATGTAAGAGAGCTGGTGTCAGGACCAACCCACCCGCTCTCCCAGCCAGGGGCTCCAGCCTCATGCAGGATGCCCAGGCCCTAGAGGCAGTGGGGAGACATGTGCAAAAGGGAATTGTAGGAAATAAAAAACCCCATAAGGTTAAGTTTTCCCCTGGGGAGTCAAAAGTCCCAGATCTCAAAAGGAAAACCCTACATAGACCCCAAACATCAAGTCTAAGGCCAGAATAAGGGGGAAGCTGAAGCCCCCGGACCAGGACAGATGTCTTCCAAAGGCCTGAGGTTCCTGAAAAGGAACGTGAAGCTGAGATGACAGTGGCCCTTCTGCACCATCTTGGTTCTCTAAAATACAAAAAAAATCAAAACACAAAATCCTAAAAGATTTTCTTCAACAGGTGTGTCCTCAAGGGCTTACATCTGTTTTGCCTGGATCCAGCTCCTCGTGGCCTCTCCTGGGCCCCACCCAGGCTCCCAGGCTCACTACGGGCTTTAATTACGTGGGCTGTGTCTAACCACATTAGTGGTGTGGGCAAAAGCCATCTTGGAGCCCAATGTAAACTGCTTGGACATGTGTAATGGAAGGTGTCCAGTGAGGTAGTTGATGTTGTTCACTGTTGTTATTACTCTTTACTGGGTTTGTTTGGAAGACTTTCTCCGAGGTATTGGAGGTGAGAGACACCTTTTAAAGCACCACCACCCTCTACCTCACTGTATGGATGCTTCCTACACACTGTGACATGGTTGGAGGCCTCAGGCTGGGGGAGCAGCTGAAAGTTCTTGCTGCCCATCTGCTGACTTCCCTGGGACAGAAGCTCACCTAGGGCTGAAGAGGGACAGTGTTTCCTTTCTGTGTGGGCCTTAGGCAGTCCTACCTCAGGGAAAGCTCCCTGCCTTGCTTATTCACTTAGTGAGCAGTAGTGTGGGCCACGTGGCCCTGTGCTTAGATGAAGAGACCCTCGCCCCCACGCCCGTACGCCCTTGCTGCCCCGGCCTCCTCAGGTGAGACTGCAAGGTGAGCAGAGGTAGGTGTGGGAGACACATCCTCCAGGGACTGGGCTGCCCTTTCTTCCCCCAGAGAGCTTGGTCAGCTTGGTGTAAGAGATGAAGAGGCCAGCCTGGTCAGGGTAAGTGACTATGTCCCTTCTGGACCAGCTTGTTCTTTAAAATAATAATAAAGAAGGTCAGCTTGGGCGGACGGTGAGAGGCTCAGAGTCCTGTCACTTTCCATCAGTTTTCTCCCTTTAGATTCTTAGAGCTTCTGGGTGCTTATAGGATCACAGAGATACACCAAGGCAATTAGGGACCCACCGTCAATCCCTGGCCGTGCAGACATAGGACACATCTCAACCAGAGTGACCCCAATGTCCCTCAGAGGCCCAAGAGTGAGTGCTGCTTCAGTGACATGTGACTGTCAGCATCTCTCCGACTGCCCTGTGCCTCAGTTTAACCATCTATAGGTTGGGAACAAAGAGGGGCCTAAGCAGCCATCATTGTCCCCATTTCTGTCAGAGCAAAGGCTTGGAGGGCCAGCCCTATCTGGGGAAGAGGGAGGCAAGCTGTCCTCTCCTGCCCAAGCCTTCCCTGATGATAAGGAGGTTGGTGGCTCTGGAGCTGAGACTCCTTGCAGCAGAATGGAAACATTCCCCCATGACAGCAGGTCCATATGTGTCCTGAGTTTCTGGTACACCTTTTCTTTCTATTTGTATTTAGGTGGGGAACCTCAGTTCCCATTGCCTCCCCTCACTGCCTAAATCTGCCAAAATACCAACATCCAGGCTGGCCTTTTTATCCCCAAGTGAGCAGGAGTATACACACACACACACACACACACACACACACACACACACACAGCCCCTTGACTGCTGAGGGAAGCAGGACAGGGACTCAGGAAGGGCACTTACAAGATGTGGAGAAAGGCGCCCTCCTCCAGGATGGGCACTGGCTGGTAGTGCTTTTTGCCCTCACTTCTCCCATGCCCACCCAACCCAGACGCACACACTGTTTCCTCTCTCCCCAAGACCCTGGCCTCTGATCTCTTCCCCCCAGGGTCTATGGGCTCAGCTCCCTGACCACACCAAACCTGGCTGGGTCCATCCCCCACATCCCCAGCTTGGCCTTCTGTGGGAGGGGACCTGTCCAGAGGAGAGGGCTCTCTTTCTGGGGATCTTCGGGGGCTGCAACCACTCTCTCTTGTGAGACCACTTCCTGCTCCTACAACACCCCCACCTCCACCTCCCGCAACACGAGAGCCAGTGGGGAGAGAAGCAGGGGAGGCTGCTCACCTGCTTCTCTGATTTAGCACTGGATGGGATGTTCCACACGGGAGGTGAGTGATGGAGTCTGTAGCAAGCTCCTCGTGGGCACCTTCCCCCACAGGAACATGTGGCTGGCCCTTTTCATAGGCAAAGTTGCTTTCAGTTGTGTGCAGTGCCATTGTTTTTTTTAAAGAATACATATAAAACCATAAAAACAAGACAACTGGTTCTGTGTGTACCCACAGAATTTACATGTGGATGAATGTTGTGTTGTGATGCCATGACTGGCTTTGATTGGGTCTCTCTTCTTTCTGTTAAATTAATTGCTGGACACTTCCATCATTCTCAGATGAAACTCATTCCCTGACCTCTCAGTCCTACCCAGACCCACTGGGAGCCCACCCCAGTCCAGCCAAGTGGATATTTCCAGCCCATTTCAATGACTGGAGCACCTTTTAGAAGTGGAAACTTCCAGACTCGCCCAGGCCAGCCTGCAGCTTAGCTGTTCGTGCCCTCAGGGCTGCACTGGTGGGCGCTGCTCAGGGGTCTCCACAGTGCCCTGTAGGAGCTGAGCAGGGTTCCAACTTCTCTAGCCTTCTGCCAGCTTTAAAAACCTTAACTCAAGCAGCATCATTCTAGATGCAATGAAAAATAGCATGTATGACAATAAAAACCTACATAGCTCCATGTACATATTTATACATACTCACATGTTCCTATTATAAATATATAGAGCATGGCATCTCTTTGGCATTCCAACTTTCTGTTTTTAAAAAATCCTTGAAAGTATGGCTCTGGAAACCTTTCTCTCCCTTTCCTTCTTTTCTATGTAATAAACATCCGTGTGACCTTTCTGGTGGTTTCACAAGTTCTTATGTCTCCCCATTTTCATAATCCGACAGAGCTCTGTGGCTTCTGCGGGCCTCCCTCCCTCCCTGTCTGCAGCCTCTGCGTCTATCTTCCTTCCTGTTATGAAGATGACCCCTCCACCCCCAGGCGTGTCCCGACCTCCATCAAACCTTTTCCCTAAACTCCTCTTCTTCTGTGACATTTGTACAAGTACTCCTCAAGATGCTGCATCTTTGGTACACTAATCCCTTTTGCAACCAGGAATTTGCACACTAAATCAAGCATCAGGCCCTGGATGGGATTTTCCAAGAATCAGTGTACAGATGTGGCTTACTTCCTCCTCTTGACTGTTAGCCTGGTGGAAGAGGGAAATGTGTTCGACAGACACGTTTGACAGACTTCTGTGAAAATGGGAATCTCGGTGAAAGTTCTCTTTTTTCTTCTTTCTTTTCTTTTTTTTTTTGAGACAGAATCTTGCTCCATTGCTCAGGCTGGAGTGCTATGGCATCATCATACCTCATAGCAATTTTCACAGTCCTAAGATTAAGTGATCTTAGGCTCCTGCCCCAGCCTCCTGAGTAGCTGGGACTACAGGTGTGTGCTAACACCTGGCTAATTTTTCTATATTTTTGTTTTTATTTTATTTATTTTTTCTTTTGTTGTTGTTGTGGTTTTTGTTTAGCAGGCCCAGGCCAGGTTTGAACCTAATTTTTCTATTTTTAGTACTTGAGCTCAAACGATTCATCTGCCTTGGCTTCCCAGAGTACTAAGATTACAGGTGTAAGCCACCATGCCCCACCCTCTAATGATTAAGGTCATTAGAGAACATAGATTATAACTAGCCATTTACCTATAACAAGGCCTGAATTGAAGGGCACCATCCATGACCCAGCCAACACTTGCATTAGTCATTGGATGAAGACTAGAGAACTTACTAAATTTGTGGAGGAGGGAAGTAAGTAGCTTAGATGAACAAATCAGAATCCAAAAAGCACTTAACAGGCAGAGGCAATGTAACAAGATGAAATCTGAGAGCGTTAAATGAAAGAGTTGTGCTTGAATTAATTCGGTTTATTAAAAAAGGTTTGATGGAGGTTGGGACGTGCCTGGGGGTGGAGGGGGTCATCTTCGTAACAGGAAGGAAGATAGAAGCAGAGGCTGCAGACAGGGAGGGAGGAAGGCCTGCAGAAGCCACAGAGCTCTGTCGGATTATGAGTTGTGCTTGAATTAAGAAACCCCGTGCTTACCTTCCCACCTAAGGGCTTGCTTGATGGGCGGCTCCATGTTCATCAGTGGCATGCTGGGGCTGACAGATCATCTGGTTCCAGGCACCTGGGGAGCAGCAGCCTGGGGCCAGGATCAGACATGGGTGCAGTGTGGCGTTCAGTGCTGGGTGCTGTGACGGGGCTGAGCGCTCTGACAAGTGTCTGGGTACTCACAACCCAAGGCTCTACCTCCTGCCATGTCCTCAGGTCAGCCCAGGACCTGTGGGGACCCACCGTTCTGGTCCACTTACCATTTACCAGGGAAATGCTGCAGCTTCTGTGGCCTTGCTGCTGCTGTTGTTCAAAAGAATCAGATTCAGAGAATAACCTTTGGTGAGACGTCCAGCTCAGCTGCAAGAGTCCCTCTGAAGCCCCAGAAATGGCATCTGTGCCTAGAATTGGCTTTAGTCACTGTTAAGACCAGAACCCAAAGCCAAGGCAGCACAGTGACCTGAGGCACTCTCAGGGAGCATTTGTGCATTGTGTAAAAACTCAGGGTGCTCAGGTGAAGTCAAGGATGCTCCTGGCCAAAGAATTCTTTCTGTAGTCATCCAGCTTCAGAGGATCTGGTCAGAGAGGACAATGGGAGATGAAGCTGGTTCTACCCTACAGGTCTGCCAAGTGAAGGGAAGAAACCCCTCAAATGCACAAGATCCCCTTTTTTCTCCCAGGCCAAGCCTCTCATCAGGAGGGCGATGTGGATTGAGATGACCAGTGCCTTTTTTGTGAGGGGTGAATAAGAGTCTCCCACTGAGAGATTTCTCCTCAAACCCAGAGGAAAGGGGCTGCAACAAAGATGAAGGCGTCTGCTCTTCAGAATTCCCCACACCCCAGGCCCAGGCCCTGGGAGAGGTTCATGCCTGTCTATCGCCAGACACAGGAGGGGACATGTGAGGATGCTCTAGGTCAAGAGGGGCAAGGTGGTGGAAAGGCTGTGTTTGGGTTTGTGGACTGGGTTGTTGATGCATTCCTCAGAAGAGGACTGGAGCCCAAACCTGGGGCAGGGAGGGTCCCAGATGGGGAGCCCAGGGAGACCAACCAGTGTGGGTTGCGTCTGGGGCCTTCGAACCCAGAGGATGGGTTCTCACTTCTAAGAAGACCATGATAGATATTTCTCAGCTCCCAATATCAAGTCAGCCCCTGATTGAAGCCTTTAAAGCCATATAACCCAAGATTCAGTTTATATGAAACATACCAACAACATGTGGGGATGGTAATGAGATAAGCACGACCATTTATGTTGTACTACATTGTTTACAAAATACTTGCCTCCTTCAAGAAGAGGTTCCAACTAAACTTGCATTTATTGGGTGTCTACCAAGTGCCAGGAAGTTCACATGTGCTATTTTATTGTCACAGATCTGTAGGATCTGACCACATAGGTTCAAAGAAGTCAAACTTGTCCAAAGACTCACAGCTGGTTAGTGGAGGAGGCACAACTTTAACCTCACCCCTGACTTTTGATATCTAGTTCCTTACATACCAGGGGGCCTCTCAGTAAGGGATTCTGCTTCCCCTCCCTTCTTGTAAGAAACCTTCTTGGACCCCTGGCCAGGAGATCCTTCCAGAAATGGTGGTTGAGGGTTGTTCATCCCCTATGAGGACAGAATTCGGTGGTCCTTTCACCCGGAACATCACCTGCT